ATGCAAGTAAACTTAAATTTGATGGTATTTCCTTTCCAGTTAAAATTTCTGACATAGCTAAAGTAGAGAAATTAAATGATATTAGTATTAATGTTTCTGGGTTAGAATATAATAAAGAAAAACGATGTAATTCTGTAGTAGGTCCATTATTTTTAACAAAGTGTCGTAAAGATAGACATATCAATTTATTATTTTTTTCCAAGGATACAAAAAATCATTATTGTTACATAAAAAATTTATCGCGGTTAGTTAGTAAACAAATTTCAAAAGACGGTCACATCATGTACATTTGCGAAGCATGTCTACTTCATTTTCCATCTCAGGAGAGGTTAAATAACCATGAACAATACGATTGTGCCCACATTTGAACAGAATTACCAAACAGTGAAATTTAAAAAAAAAAAGAATTGGTTTGGTCAACCCATTACAAATGATAAAATTAAATTTGATAGTTATGAAAAAAGTTAAAGATACCTTTCGTAGTTTATGCTGATTTTGAAGCATTTTTAAAACCAATAGAATCATGTTCTAATGATCCTTCCAAACCTTTTACACACAATATTCAGAAACATGAAGTACATAGTTTTGGTTATTATATAAAATGTTCATATGATGATAAATTATCAAAATACGTAACATATTGCGGATCCAACTGTGCACAAGTGTTTATGGAAAGTTTATCTAACAATCTAAAAGAAATAAATAGACCTCAAAAATATCCTCCACTTCCACTAACAAATGAAGACAAAAACCAAATTTCAAATGCAACCATTTGTCATATTTGTGAAACAGAGTTAGCAGAACATTTTTATGATTTTGATTGGTACACCGGTAGTTTTATAGGTGTTCAGTTCGAAGTTCGGAACACCTCGTTATATACCAATATTTTTACACAATCTTAGTCACTATGATGCTCATTTTATTGTTCACGCGTTAAACTTTTGTGATGGTGAAGTCGAAGTTATCCCTCAAAATAAAGAAAAATATATATCCTTTTCCAAAAAATTAAAAATGAATAATCACGAAATTATATTGAGATTCATAGATTCATTTAAGTTTTATCATGTAAATTAGAAGAATAATGATGAAGATTTCTTTCGTTTAAAACGGAAAGGCGTTTATCCATATGAACTTATGACTAATTATGATAGTTTAAGCCTAACATCGCTCCTTGAACAAAAAAAAATTTATAGCTCGCTCACAGATTCCCATATTTAAAATGATGATAAATACAATCATGCTATAGATGTTTGGGAACACTTTGGGTGTTGTAATATGCTAGATTATTCAAACCTGTATTTAAAACAGACGTTTTACTTTTATCCGATGTACTCGTATTTGAAAACTTTAGAAAGTTATTTATTTATTTTTGCAAAAACTACTATGGTACAATTCTTAAAGCACAACATGTTTGCTATGTGATTGTGATAGCATGCAAATTTACATAAATAGCACATATACAAATGAAATTTTCTAATCATAATACAAAACAATTCATTAAAAAATATATATCATTTACATTTAACAAATAGTTCTCTGATGTCATAAAATTGATTTTCATTGAGATAAGTCAATAATTTTTTTTAAATATATTATTATTATTCGACTTGATTTCATTTGGTATTTTATTATAGATTCGAATACACATGGTTAAACAGCTTTTACTATATTTGTTTGATCGCGGTACATCATCTTATAGCTTTGCATTTCTTTTTAGTCTTATATTCATATCACATGCCTTTGTAAACAGATTATTATGTTTATGTACGAAATTACAAGCTTCGTAGATATACAGAGATGGTAGTGACAACAAACCTAGGCTCCTAGATATTGGTTTGCAGGATTTATCCCGTGCGATTCCAGCAATAGCTCTAATGTATTTCTTTTGCGCAGTAAATAATCTCTGTTTATCTGTACCATTGCCCCATATTACAACACCATAACGTAGTAAAGATTCTATGTAAGCGTGATACGTTAGAACAGCAGTTTTTTTGTCTGTAACATTTTTTACTTTATTAAGTGCATAAACAAATTGGTTAATTCTACTGCATAGTTGATGTATGTGACCTCTCCAGCTTAAAACTTGATCGATTATTACTCCTAGGAATTTAGTTTGTGTTACTTCGTTTAATTTGTCGATATTAAGATTAAAATTGTATTTTGTGTGTTTTGATTTATTAAATTGAATATAAGTTGATTTATTAAGATTAATTTTTAAATTGTTTTTGTCTAGCCATTTAATAATTGTATCAATTGTGTTGTTAATGTCGATTTCATGATTACGTATTGAATTATTTTGCTTCATATTAGTGCTTACAATTATTGAAATATCGTCCGCGAATAAAATACATTTATGACTGGTGATTAGAGTTATATCATTTAAATAAAGAAGAAACAACATTGGACCCAGCACGCTACCTTGAGGAATGCCATGTTTGTTCTCTTTATAAGAAGATGAGAAGGACAGCATTTCCTCTCCTACAATCTTTTTTATTACGACACATTGTCTACGGTTAGCTAAATAGGAAGATATCCATTTTAGTGGAAGTCCTCTGACACCGACCATTTCCAGTTTTCGTAATAGTATGCTGTGCGCAACGAGATCGAAGGCTTTCGATAAATCAAGAAATAATGCTGTGGTTAAAAAATTGTTATTTATTTTTGTTAAGATTGAACTAATGAGCTTAAATGTGGCTAATGTTGTAGATTTTTGTTTCTGAAAGCCATTTTGGTCATTCTTTATTAAATTGAATTTCTTGCAAAAATCTAGTAATCTTTTGTACATACATTTTTCTGGTATTTTTGAGAATATTGGTATTAATGTAATTGGACGATAATTGGTAATATCATTTCTCTTACCCTTTTTAAATAATGGCTTTACAATCGACAATTTTAATGTTTCTGGAAAAGTACCACATGAAAATGATAAGTTAATTAAATATGTTAAAATAGAGACTAATTCATTTACAGACTTCTTAATTATTTTCGTATTAATACCGTCATATCCTTCCGAGTTAGTGTTATTAAGAGATAGGATTTCTTTTTTAACCTCTTCTTCTGTCATGGGCTTAACAAACATTGAGTTAGGTAGTGATTTTTCAATACTAGTATTGCTGTTTGGTTTATTCATTATTGTCAAATTATTAGGGAAATCAGTAAAATAATTATTGAAAATCAAGCTATGTCAGTAGGATTTTTAATCAGTTCATTATTTATTTTTAAATCCGTAACGCCATGGTCGAAGTTTGAATTTGAGATTGCATTTTTTATCACAGACCATGATAGCTTTACATTTATTTTTGCTTTTGTGTATGAATTTTATAGTAGAATTTCTTTTCGATCTTTGAATACATTTTTTCAAAATCTTTGAATATGTGATGTAACTTTTCTTATTTATATTTATTCTTGTAGTATCTATATTGGAGTAATCTTTTAGTTTTACAACTTCTTTTTAAACCTCGACTTATCCAATTGTTTGTAGTATTATTATTATTTATCATTATTCTAATAAGTGGAAAACATAAATTATAAATTAAACATAGAAATTCATGAAATGTATTAAACGCGTTATTTATATCAGTCTGTAAGTATATATCAGACCAAGATATATTCGTAAGACATTCCCTAAATTTCCGTATATTCTCAGCGCAATAGTCTTTTTTGTAAATAAAATATGCCGTGGTCTTTAAGGTTTTTCTTTTTATGGGGATTTCCAGTAGTTGCGCTGTTTCATGGTCAGACAGGTATAGAGGTAGAATGGTGGCCGTTGCGTCTGTGATGTTGCTTAAAATATGGTCTATACAAGAGTTTTTCCGGGTCGGTACCTTGATGTGAATGCTTAGATTGTAGTTGTGACATAGATCTTGAAAAAAATTAGTAATATTTCCCTGTTTTAAGGTATTAATATTAAAGTCACCAGTTACAACTAGCTTAATGTTTGGCTTATGACTGCTAAGTAAGTCATATAAAAGTTTGTTCAGCTTATCTAAGAAAATAGTAGGGTTTGACGAGGGAGTTCTATAAATACATATTATAATCAATCTGTGTACAGGAATTTCAATTCCACAAGCTTCAAATGTATTTGGCGTTGCATAATATTGTAATTTATTAATTTTTTTGTATGTTATATTGCGCTGTACCAAAATACAAGTTCCGCCTCTTTGTTTCTCTCTACAAAATGCAGTTGCTAATTCGTAACCTTTTATTTGTAAGTATTTATCGTAACCATCTCGCAAAAACGTTTCAGAGAAACATAGTATATCGGGTTCGTTCTCGGCCTCACGTAACTCATGAAATGTTAATTCTAATAGTTCTTATTTTGATAAAATACTAGCAATGTTTTGGTGCATGATTTTGAGAGAAATAGATGGCTTTTGCTTTTTGTTCCCGAAAAAACTGATTTCCATCTATTATGGGGAAGTAATAGGGTATGGTACCTTTTTTCGAATCGAAAGTGGATTTTATGACATTAGTTCCACTGATGGAAGCACTTTGTAACTGCATTTTTGCGAAGTAATAGGGGATTGTGCCTTTCAGGTGTTTTATATTAAATTTAGTTTCTTCCTGAGGCTGTAGTTTATTGCGAATTATTATCTTTTAAAGTTGCTTAATATTTAAATATTTATTATCGTAATCAATACAGTCGATGATATAATTGATTGATTTACACATTTTAAACAAATTGCTATTAATACATTCTACAAAATGACAGTTTTTATAAGCGTTACAAGTAATTTTCAACGCATTATTCAATTCATGAACATTCAAATACATATTTTTAATGGGTTAATAACTATCACAGAATTGTTACTAAATTTATTGAGCAAACTACGCAATTGAGATGTTAATATATTAATATTATAATCATTTTCCCCGATACATATCACAATTTTTTCATTTGATGTTAATTCTAAGTTATGACAATTTTTTAAAACATCTGCAGTTAGAGCATACGGTTTCGTTTGCGAGGTAACCAAATATTTTTCGTATGTTGTACGCTCTCATGACCGTATCAATGCAGCGGCTAAACCAACACATTGTTGAGTTCCAAAGATCAATATCCTGTTATCACAAGCTTGCTTTTCGGTATCCTTGGAATACATTTTATCATTAAAATTAGGTGTTGTTAAGGCCATAGATCTTGTTGAGGGAAGCTCTTCTTCCCAGGCCTGGGTTTGTTTCATGAGTTTCATTATTTCTGTCTGGGATTCTTTTAATTGCTGCTGTAATTCTGCAATTCTCTGATGTAAAGTCGTGATAGTATTACTGTAGTCAAGTTTAATTTTAATTTTATCCGAAGTAGATAATCGGGTAGGTGTAAGTGAACTTTGCATGGTATATCTACTTTCCTTTTTAGAGCTGCGATTTATACGACTATCATGTAACGGGGACTGGCATAATGTTTTTAGCATACTATTTTCTTTATTTAACTTAGTAATTTGTTTGCGTAGGTCACTATTTTCCATTAATGTATTATCCAATTCATTTTGTGAACTAATGAGTTCTGTCCGAAGTTGTTCTATAGTTTCCTTCATTTCTTGTACTGAGATAGAATCTGTTATTGTATAATCCACACTCCTTGATAGTAATTGATCCGATGTCAGTGGAAATTCATCTGATGTCTGCGTTTCTGTAAGTATGTGAGTGTCGTGTATTTGGGAATTCGTACAAGAAGGCGTTAAAGGAGCCGACACTGTCGTCGTCTTAGGTGTAGTGTTACCGTATAATTTCGGAAAATGCTGTTTCTTTCTCATTGCGACATAGGATAATTCATTGTTGTCAGTGGAGCGTAAGTTTGTTTTATTGTCACAAATCTTACAAGTCCATTTTTTCCTTGTATTGGAGTCCTTTAGGCGATATAATTTTTCTGAATATCCAATACAGTCGAACTCATAATTATTTTTGCATATTGAACATAAAATTGTATTTCTAGAGTCCACAGTGTTTTTACATTTATAACATGTGACATACACAACATGACTACTACGGCTACTTTTTGTACTTTTTGTTTGCGCTTTCATTGACATCGTGATCAGTTGATATATCTAGATTATACTGCTGCCACTTATTTTTTTGCTAATATCATTAAAACTAAGCTCAATAAACACTCGTATGTAACACAAATTTTAGTCAAAAACCTTTAATAGTTCACTAAGATAACATTTGTGCACAATCATAACGTACTATTACTTTGATATATGAAGTCTGAGACGGTAAAATAGCCAAATTACACTTTTTATTCAATTTTAATACGGGAGCCAATGTGAATACGGTCACTGTCACTGTCACTGTGTGATTTTGTGTATGATTTAGACCCTGCCCATTATTACACAGCACCCGGTTTAAGTTGGGATGCAATGTTAAAATATACAAAAATAGAATTAGATCTTTTAACAGATTATGAGAAAATTGCATTTCTTAGATCAGGTATCAGGGGTGGTGTATCTCAATGTAGTAATCGTTATGCTAGAGCTAATAACAAATATATGCTTACACAACCAAATTCATATATCACATATTTTGATGCCAACATTTTATATGGTTGGGCTATGTCTCAATGTTTTCCTACTGGTGGATTCGAATGGGTAAATCCGAATACAGAATTTATTGTGTCTGAGACATCGGACTTCGGTTTTATTTTAGAAGTTGATTTGGAATATCCAGATGAATTTCATGATTTACATTCGGACTTTCCTTTATGTCCAGAAAACATTTGTGCAGGCAATATTAATGAGAATAAACTAGTCCCAAATTTAAATAATAAAGATAAATATGTAATTCATTACAGAAATTTAAAGCAGTGTATAGAAATGGGGGTTAAATTAACTAAAATTCATAGAATTTTAAAATTTAAACAGTCTCCCTGGTTGAAGATGTACATAGATCTAAACACAAAATTAAGAACGTTAGCAAAATCAGATTTCGAAAAAGATTTTTATAAATTAATGAATAATTCAGTCTTCGGTAAGACTATGGAGAATATTGAAAAAAGGGTTAACATAAAATTAGTTACACACTGGGATAACCAGGGCAAAGCTTTAGGTGCTCAAGTTCTAATCGCTAAACCACAATTTCATAGTCTTTCAGTATTTTCGGAAAACCTAGTTGCAGTTCAGTTGCGAAAAACAAAGTTAATATATAACAAACCAATTTATTTAGGGTTTTGCATTTCAGATATTTCAAAAACATTAATGTATGATTTTCATTATAACTATATGGTTAAAAAGATTAGTAAAATCAAATTATTGTATACAGATACGGATAGTTTAGATTAGGATAGTAGATTTTTACACTGATATAAAACCTGACCTTTCATCATACTTTGATACCTCAGCTTAGGATACAAATAATATTTTTGAATATCCAAAATTAAATAAAAAGAAATTAGGTTTTTTTTAAAGATGAAAATAATGGTAAAATCATGAAAGAATTTGTGGGTATACGATCCAAAATGTACGCTTTTAACTTAGAGAATAAGACTATAGCCAAGGCAAAAGGGGTAAATAAATGTATCACTAAAAAGATGACCATGGATAGTTATAAGTCTTCTCTATTTAATAAAAATGTGCAATATTATAGTATGCTTAGATTTAAATCAATTAAACACACAATTTTTACACAAAAATTAAATAAGATTGGTTTATCATATAATGACACAAAGAGGCATATTTTAGATAATAATATTGAATTACAATAACATTAGCTTGGGGTCATTATAAATTGCGCTAAGTGTTGATAGTTTTTACTTTTATGTCTACATGTAAATAAAATTTGTATTGATTGTAAAATAATGATAATAGTATAATATGACGTAGAGTTTATTACATATTTAATCATTGTTTTATTGTAAATAATTTACGTTAATTGTTGTTTATATTTGCGTGTGTGTGTATTTATTTGAGGTTGAGATGATTATAAAATTATGATGTACTAATTGTCTTAGAAATAGTATACAGATCATTCTGTTTTATATAATTTTTAATATATATTAATTGTTTACACCAACACTTTCATTTTTTATTTCACCCGTTAGAACTTTAGACGTGTGTAATGTTTCACTTTATCCATCCGTTTACTGCTATTGTGGCAGGACCAAGTGGATGTGGGAAGTCAAATTTTGTAAAAAATTTCATAAAATCAGTTACAGAAATATGTAATTGTGATTTTAATCAGATCACATGCTGCTTTGATGAAATGCAACCTTTATATAATTTACCAAATGTTAACTATCATCAAGGAATTCCAAATCTTAATATGTTTGATGGTGAAAACCCACATCTCGTTATTATTGATGATCTAATGAGAGAGTCCGATGGAAGAATTGTGGATATATTTACAAAAGGTAGTCATCACAGGAATCTTAGTGTATTTTATTTAACACAAAATTTATTTCATCAGGGTAAAGGGCAAAGAGACATATCTTTAAATTCAAGTTATATAATATATTTTAAAAACCCTCGAGATAAAACTCCAATAAGATATTTAGCGCGACAAGTGTCACCAGATAACTCAAAATTCATTGAAGATGCCTACAGGGATGCAACTCCAGAGGCGCATGGATATTTAATGGTAGATTTAAAACAGAATACCAATGATTTTTGTCGTATCAAGACAAATGTCTTCCCATTTAATGGTTTCTGTACAGTCTACGTCCCCACAAAAGAGTTTAAATACACCAAGAATCAAACAATTCAAATCATTGCTAAATGATGCATCGTCGACTCACAACGCATAAACATTTGCTAAACGCTTTGCATACGCTTAAACCAAAATATCAAAGAGCATTACTTAAAACGTGTGATGAAGAAGAAATTAACTGTATTTGTGAGTGTATTCATAACGTTTTACAAGGAAAAGTACCTCTTAAAGATCAAGATAAACAAAAATTGAATAAACACAAAAATATACTCCGTCAACTAGTGCGTAAGTGTAAACATAAACTAAGAAAAAATATAATTACACAAAAAGGAGGGGATTTCATACCAATAATATTAGGTACAATATTGAGTGGATTAGTGAGTGGACCAGCCAGTTAACATGAAAAATGAAAAGAAAATGATACTTATCGAACCTGGATTGATTGAAAAATTAAAACAAGAAAATAAGGTTAATAGTAATTTATCTCGATTGGATATTGAAATGCAAAATATTATGAATAGTAAGACAGAAGACCGAAAGAAATGGATGTTATATTTACAAACACTGCAAAGATACCTTCATTTTACCGAAGAGGATCGTCAACCACTCAGATTACCAATTTATTCTGATACATCTAATGAAGATTCAAATGAGTCTAAAATTGGTTTTAAAAATAAAGATAGAGATCTAAAAACTTCAGTTAATGCTGAATCTTTGTTGGAGGAGAATTGATCCATTAAAAGTAAAGAAAATTATGAAAATCCACTTTACACACCAGCTCAAATACTCAGTTTAATACCAAAAACTTATAATAAAAAAGGACAGTTATTATTAAACTTAGTTGAAACAAGTAAAAGTAAAATACATTGGGATAATGAAGGTACAGTCATAATTGATAATGAAAAAATTCCTGGAAGTAATATTGTTGATTTAATAAATGATTCACTAAGACCCTTAGAAAGAAGTGATCCAGTAGGGTGGGATAAATTTGCTGAAGCATTAAAAGATATTAAAGTACCACTTACTTATATTGAAAATCCAAAGAGATGTGAGTTTATTAACCAACTTCAAGCAAAAGATTTGAACAAACCCTCTGAGATTGAAGTTCAAGAGTTTTCTACACCGAGCAGTAGAGATAAAAAGTCTGCAACTAAAATACGTAAAAGGTTTGAGTGGGAAAAATGGACCCCGTACTAGAAGAAATTAACAGGATTTATTATGATCCATCTAATCCCGCTGGTTTTGGTAGTATTGATAAATTATCAAAAGCCATGAAGGGTAAAATGATTAAAAGGCAAGTAATCAAAAATAACCAAAAAGATTAATTACTATACCACTAACAATCCTGATATTAAAGCCAGTATTGTTGAACGATTTCAAAGAACACTAAAAATGAAAATGTGGCGTTATTTCACTCATAATAATACTTATAGATATGTAGATGTTTTACAAGATTTAATATACTCTTATAATCACAGCTTTCACTCTAGTATTAATATGTGCCCATGTGATGTAAATTCCGACAATATTATGGCAGTTTGGACTAATCTTTATGATAGACGGTCAAACAAACTTTCTTTAGAAAATCAAAAACCAAAAATTCAATGTGGGTATGAATCAAATTGGGGTGATGAAATATTTATTATATCTTCAATAATTGATAGATCTCCATGGGTTGTTTATACAATAACAGATTTACAAAATGAATCAATAGTTGGTACAAAAAGTACGAAAGAGAATTACAGAAAATCGCTTACAACCCCACCTCACAATATAAAATAGATAAAATAATTGACACTCGTTACTCAAGTAACAGAAAAGAAGTATTAGTGAAGTGGAAAGGTTATCCAGATAAATTTAACAGTTGGATTTTAGCTTCTAGTTTAAAAGAAATACGAATAAAGAAAGTTTTTATTTAACTTTGCTCAGCAATAGTTCAATGGAATACTTTCCTGATAACAAGACCACAAATTTTTCAACGAAATTACCGAAAGCTATTAAATTAGAAGGTGAATGGTCGGTTGGAGTTTTCGAGTTTCAATATCCATGTACCATGTTTACTGTTCAAGATCATGAAAAATACATTACAAAATCTATGTTAATGCCTAATGAAGAT